CCACTGTGCCACCAGGGCTCCTCAAAGTACTCAGCAAGGGTCCTCATAACGGTGAGGCAGGAGGGCAGTGTCAGCACAGCTGCAGGCAGAAGGGGATCAGAGTCCTTGCACAGGACAGGTGGAGGAGGGACCAAGGCTGGATGCTTCGCAGGAATTCCCAGCAGTGGCCAGGAGGATGGAAAGCTGCATTTTCTGGAAGGATCCACCTTCTCCGGCACAGTGTGGTTTGGGCAGGGTTCTGTCAGATGGTGGAGGAGTGAGGAAGTCCCCCAAAGTCCATCCTCACCTTTAGGGAAGTATGCTAATGGGAGACGCAGGGGAACAGGAGTGGCCGGAGCAGAGGTGATGGGGTCCCACCGCAGCCTTCAGACCATGAGGGCTCGGCCAAGCTCCTGAGGAGGCAGGAAAGCCGGGGTCAGCTCAGCCCTCAGGCGGAAATCCATCAGGTTAATTTGAATCGTTGTTTTCTTCCTTCCCCACAGGGCAATGAATGAGGCAGCAGTGGTACAGTGGTAGACGTCTCGCCTTCTGTGCAGGAGCCCCGGGTTCATTTCCCGGCCAAGGCACCTCACGCGCAGCCACCACCCGGCTCTCCGTGCAGGTTTGCGTGTTGCTGTGATGCCGAACAGGTTTCAGCAGAGCTTCCAGACTAAGAGGGACTAGGAAGAAAGGCCTGGCGATCCACTTCAGAAAATCAGCCAATGAAAACGCTGCAGATCACAACGGTCCTACCCACAACCAATCATGGGGACAGCACAGGACCAAGCTGCATTTTGTCCCATTGCGCATGGGGTTGTCATGAGTTGGGAGCCAACTCCAGGAGAGCTGACAACAGGAAACATCCCAATCTACAGGGTGAGGCTAGACTGTTAACCTGAAGGAATTTTCGGTAAAGACTGACCAGTGAGAATTTTTCACTATAGGTACCGTGAGTAGCAATCCGTCCAGGTCCTTGAAGAGAGAAAGAGAGCATTTGCCGATTCAAAAAATAAATAGAAGAAATAAAAACACAGTAAACAAAATTAAACAGTATGAGTAAAACAAAATAAATAAAATACAAGAAAAGAATAAATAAAATGTTATAAGCTAAATATAAAATAAATACAACAGAATAGAAATACAAAAAATAAAAATTAAAAATTACAATAAAATATAATGAAACAGAAAATAAAATTAATATAAACAGAACATAAAAAATAAAGAGAAAATAGACCAAAGTAATAAGAATTAAACCAGAAAATAAAATGCAATACAGTAAAACAACGAATAGAATTTAATCAATAAAATAGGACTCCTAAAATAATAAATAACAAAATAAAATAGTATAACAAATTGAATTAAAATAAATAAATGAAAACAAAATAGAATACATTTAAAAATAGAATTCAATAGAAGAAATTAACAAATAAAATTAGACAAGAGTAAAAATGTTTTAACCCTTTCAAGGCCTGCTGATTTTCTGCACTGAATCTTTGTTGACACCGTGTGTTTTCGGTAGTGGAATGCATGCTGAGTCACTGAGTGTGCTTACATTTTGGGTTGGTGTCATAGACGTTGAGAAATATGACGTGAAAATACCTGATCTGTGGGAGCCCGTCTGGCCCACTAGTCATGGGCGGTAGGCACCTCTGGTTTGGCCGGATGCCCCAGCTATTTTGCTTCAGTGAACGTCTCTTTCACCTCTCACGTTACCCAAGTCCCCACTGGAGGGCAATAAAGATTTTCAGCAGGACAAGCAGACTCCCACAGGCCTTCAGAGGCATGGAAAGTGGGTGGGATGCCATATGCTCCATGAGTCACAAAAGGGTTTAAACACCCTGGGGTGAGGCCGCCTGCAGCTGCCCACATCCCAGGAACATGGTGGAGAAACAGGTCTGGGCGGAGGGCATCTCAGGGTCCCCGCCGCGCTACCTTCCTGTTTTCACCAGTAACAACCTGTGTGTGGACTTCCTGGGTGGGGCAAATGGTAAATAAGGTCAGCTGCTCATGGAAAGGTTGGCGGGTTGAACCCACCCAGAGGTGCCTCGAAAGAAAGGCCTGGGGATCTACTTCAGAAAAATCAGCCAGTGGAAACCCTATGGACACACATGGGGTCAGGACTGACTGGACAACAACGGGTTTTTTTTTTCTTTTTCATGGTTGCACAACTCTGTTGAATATACTAAAAAGTACTGAATTGTACATTTTAAATGGGTGAACTGTATGGCATGAGTCGTATCTCAAAAAAGAGAAATCAAGAGAAAAGCTGACCCCTTGCAGATTCCTCTCCAGCCCAGAACTCGCCGGAAACCACAGACCTGTGCGCCCACCTCCCATCCCCAAGGCTGTTCTCCTTTGCCTGCTCCACCCCCTCCCCAGTTTCAGCCCCGCTGACCCCAGAGACAAGCTCTCCATTGCATGCCCCGTTTTCCAGACATGACATGTGCCCCTGGACATCTAGAGGCTTGTGTATTTCCTCCCCAAGTAGCCTGGAACTCGGAATCCCCCGGCTTCTCGATCCCCTAATATTGGCTCTGGGCCCCTCTGGTCTCTCCACGTGGGTCCAGGCCACTCTGACGGGGGTGGAGTCTCCATGGGACAGCAGAACTCTTCCCAATGGACCCAGGAGTGGGCACTCCGGGAGAGCCAGCTTCTGCCCCCACAGACTCCAGCCATTGCAGGCCCGCACGCCAGCCTGCCGGGTGACACTCGCTCTTCTTGTCCCAATTATTCTATGAGGGCTTCTTATTTATAGCCAGGGATGCTGGGCTCCTGCATCCTGCAAGTTTCCTTTTTCTTATTAAAAACTCTGAGCATGAAGAAAATGGGCCGTGTGAAGGAAAAACGGAGACCTCCCTTGTCCCGTGGCGGTGGAGCGTGGGAACGGTGTGCAGTGTGAGGCTGGGTACAGAGACCTCCTCAAACGTGGGAGGTGGGACAGGCGGGTGGACCTTGGTGTGACTCCCGACAGGGTGTCGGGGCAGCTGCCATTATGCCGCCTGGGGACAAGGACCACAGGCCGTGCACCAGCTCGGTTCTGGTTTACGCCATCGGGTCGTTTGCTCTGGGACCTTTGGTGGGGCGGCCAGGCCAGGCTGGGGAAACACACACACGTGCTCTTGCACACATGCTTGCCAACACACACACGTGTGCACACACGCACACATTCACAATACACTGCCTTGTACACGCACACATACACATGCTCACACGGTAACACACGTACTCACACACACTTGCACACCACAACCGCAGCCAGCGCTTGATGTGATGCAGAAAAAGGATTTATTTCCAGGATATTTTCACGTAACAAAAAGAACACAGCGTATCAAGGGTGTGAAATATGGGGTGGGGAGGCTTGTCGGCACCCCAAGGGCACGTCTCCCACCCAGGGCCGGCCTGACTCCGGCACGGCAGCGTTGGAAGGCCGCGGCAGCCCTGAGCCTTGGGTGTGTGAGCTGCACGCCTCTGGCCAGACGCCCCTGGAACATCCCTGGACGCCCTGAAGGCCCCGCACCGCTTTCGCCCTCACAACAGCCTGGCCACCTCTGGACGCTGAGTGGCGGCCGGCACAAGTAGCCACCGGGAAAGGCAGGCGTGGGGACACGGTCCCGACGGCCTGGAGGGCTTCCGGCCCCGGGGAGAGCATGTGGGGGGGGAATTGCTGGGGTCTGGAAGGGCCTGGCAGTTAGGAGCTGAGGGGCAGCGCTGGGGGCGCCACCCACTCCCGCAAACACGGTGCAGAAGGACTTGGCAGCGAGCATTAGAAGGTTACTGGGAGAAGGTTGTTTGGCCCACCCGTTCCCAACGGTGCTGTAGAAATCCTACAGACGTGCTTCCCTTCCCCGTGGGCAATGCCATGTCAGACGGAGTTAGAATTGGAAGAAAGAACAGCACGTCCTCGCCTACGCTCGGACGCTGGGTTTAAACTCCTCGATAAGGCACAGATTCGTCCATTCTCGTTTCAAGAGGCTGTTCTCCTGAGGGGCCTGGGAGAACCGTCTCCTAGGACACTCCACTCCAGTCTCTGAGCTTCCTGCCGACCGTGGTAAAGTTGCCTGGACGGAGACGCCCCAGCAGAGCCGTGGACCCTCGAAGGTCCCATCACCCTCCTCCCCGAGCCTCCTGAGACGTGTCCTGTCTCCCCTCGCTGCACTCTGGGGGTGGCCACACCCCTCCTGGCCGGCTCTCCTCCACAAGGGGATTCCCTCTGATTCAGGATCCAGAAGGTTCCTGGCTCGCAGTGCGGAGGCTCTGCCCACAACCTGACCCCCTAAGGTCTACAATCCCTCGCACATCAATCAGAACAAGAGGGGTGCTGGACGCATGCAGACCAGCGGCCTGGCACAGCAGGCAGGAGAGATGGGGCGGACAAGAGGGGTACGGTGGGTCTGTGTCCTGCAAGCTGGTTCACGCTGGTTATCTGGCTGTGGGCAGTGGGGACCCCAGGGGACAAAAGGCCACCAACCAAGTCCTCTGCCACCCACAGGGGGCCTGGTGCCGCCTGCCAGGTCTCCTCCCAGCTCGAGGCCGAGTGGGCAAGGGTGGAGAGTAGGCGCAGGGCTGGGGGTCTCTCAGCCTTGAAAGAAGGACAGAGGCTGACCTGCTACTGCCTGCCCTGAGCGGGTCCCACTGGCCAGACCCCCGTGACCTGGAGGGAAAGGGCTGCACACGGCAGACAGGACAGTGAGCGTTTCATGGAACCAGGGGGTCCCCCGGCCCGGACGGCACAGGCTGGGTGTCTTGAGGCAGCGCTGAGCGAGATCCACTCTCGGAAGTGAGATGAACACGACACGGCCGGCAAACCTCCCACGTCCACTAGCCTGGCTGGGGGACCCCAGCCTGCGTTGGCCCCGCCCCCCCGCCCCCCGCCAGCCCGCTGGAGAGGGAGGGGCGCTGCCTCCCGGGGGGCCTGCGGGGACAGACGCTGAAGGCCCCAGGGACCCAGGTGGCGGCGGTGTCGACAATGCAGGGGGAGGCGGGGGCGGCCGCACGGGTGGGGACAGGGCCGGCCGGCTCCCTCAGGGCCACTGGCTGCCGCCGCCCGGGTAGTTGGGCACGGTGGGGTACTCGGGCAGGCTGTTCCCCGAGAAGTTGTTGTACTGGGCCTCCCGCGACGGTGGGTTCCGCCACGTGCCCGTGCTCCACTCTGTCTGCGCCTTCTGGACGCTTCCACCGGCCCCCCGGTAGATACTGTGCACCTGCAGGGAGGCACGAGGAGACAGATTAGGGCGTGTGTGAGCGTGTGTGAGCGTGACAGCGTGTGCGTGTGAGAGAGACCCGCTCTTCCTTAAGGTCAGGCCCATTCTTCCAAAACTAATTACAGCGGTGACGGGGAGCCTCGTGGAAACCAGAGAATACAGACAATCTGACACCGTCCTCCGGCCTCCGCCCGGACTGTGAACCGCCGTCTGTCCTTGTGTGCCCTTTTTACGCGCGTGCACTTTGCCCACACTCAGGGTCTGAAGGTCCCAGAGCTGTGGAGACAAAGCCTCCCGCACTGGGGGCTGAGAACAGCAGACGCTCGTTCCCCCAGGGTTCTGGAGCCCAGGAGCCCCTCAGGGCGTCGGCAGGGACGCGCTCCCTCCAGAGGCTCCAGGGGAGGCCACGTCACTGCCATCTCTGCCTCATCCTCACCTGGCTGGCTGTCTGTCTTCCCTGTGTCTGTCTGTCCACGTGTCTCTCTTCTTAAGGCAGCAGGTACTGGATTAGGGCCCACCCTGCTCCAGCACGGCCTCCCATTAACAGTGACATCTGCAAAGAGTCTACTTCCACACAAGTCCACGTTCGGAGATTCCCGGTGAACATGGACTTTTGGGGCCTCTAGGCCTGGCAAGGAGCTCTGGTGGCGCAGTGGTTTAAGTGCTCGGCTGCTAATTGAAAGGTCAGCAGTTCAAACCCACTAGCTGCTCCAAGGGAGAAAGATGTGGCGGTCTGCTTCCGTAAAGATGTACAGCCTCGGAAGCCCTGTGGGGCAGTCCTACTCTGTCCTGTAGGGTCGCTCTGAGTCGGAACCGACCGGACGGCAGTGGGTTCGGTTTGGGTTTTCTAGGCCTGGCGATCTCCTTCCAAAAATTAGTCAATGAAAACTCTGTGGGTCACAACAGAACACTGTCCAACTCACTCGCCTTGGACACGTCAGCAGGACGGATCCATCACTGAAGGAGGACGTCACGTTTGGGGAGCAGAGGGCCGGCGAGGGTGAGGGAGACCCTAGGTGAGATGAATCGGCACGACCGCTGCAGCAACGGACCCGGACACGCAGGTGAGCGTGAGGATGGCACAGGACCACGCAGGTTCGTCGTGTTGTCGTGAGCTCTCCATGAGCCGGAGTCAACTCGACAGCAGCGGGCTGTCTGTCTGTCATCCACCCACTTCTCTCCATCCCTGTACCTCCATCCATCCCTCTCTCCGTGTATATGTGTATTCTGTCTCTCCCTCCATCTATCCCCCCCACGTCTATCTCCCTCTCTAGCCATCTATCCCTCCCTCTCTCTCTCTGTACCCATCTATCTCCCAGTCCATCCCTCCTAGGACACTGAGGCTGTTTTTCCCATGAGGCAGTTTGTCCCGCCCTCCTGTGTCACGACCTGTCTCCTCCCATTGAACACGGTCTGCGCGTCTCTCCTCACCGCGGAATCTTGTCTTTCAGCAACACCGGTCACTGGGGGGCCGCCTGGCCCACGCCCGACACCTCCTGCCTGCGTCCCCGTCGCTCTTGTGAAGCCCGGAGGACAGCACCTAGTGTGCAGATGTGCTCCATAAACCCACGGCTCTGACGAGGAGGAGGGAGCACTGGGGCCTCGAACCCCGTGCTGTGAACAGCCATCTTGGGGCACACGGCCATCTCGGGGCGCACGGCCATCTTGGGGCACACTGCCATCTTGGGGCACATGGCCATCTCGGGGCGCACGGCCATCTTGGGGCACACGGCCATTACGGGGTACACGGCCATCTCGGGGCACACGGCCATCTCAGGGTACACAGCCATCTCGGGGCACACAGCCATCTTGGGGCACATGGCCATCTCGGGGTATACGGCCATATGGGGTATACAGCCATCTCGGGGTGCACAGCCATCTCGGGGTACACAGCCATATGGGGTATACAGCCATCTCGGGGTACACGGCCATCTTGGGGTGCACAGCCATCCTGGAGTGCACAGCCATCTCGGGGTACACAGCCATCTTGGGGGACATCTTCCTCACGCTCTCACTGCCGTCGGGGAGGCTGAGCTGGTCTGTCCCCGCTCCCCACACCCCATCTGCTCCTCTGGGAACTCAGGCTGTGTTATTTCTAGAAATCGTGGCACACTCAAGAGGCCAAAAAATGGTATTTTGTTTTAACGTGTCGTTCCTGATTAGTGAGGTTGAATGCTTTTATTAATTTCCCCTGGAATTTCTTTCTTCCTCTGTGTCCATTAACGGTCTGCTGCTCCTGGCTGAGACTGCAGGACTCCCCGAGTCGACTGCCTGGAGATACTCTTCGAGCCTCAAACTGAAACTACCCCAAGGTCGCCTTGTCGCTAAATAACAAACTGGTTAAGAAAATAATGACTATCACCCGTAAGTACCGTGCTCGTTTAAAAAATCACCTATGTGAATCCAAACGGTCAACAAATACTTTAAAACAAAGATGAGACTGGAAGGTAGCAGGGAAACTAGATGAGTGGAAACAGAACAACCAGAAGGGAAATAATGAGAATGGTCACACACTGAGAAGAATGTAACCAACGTCACTGAACAACTTGTGTGGAAACTGTTATGGGGAACCTAAACTGCTGTGTAAGCCTTCACCGAAAACACATTATTAAAAAAAAAAAATCTGTTTCTCTGCCGTTTGCACTGGGGGGGGAGTCGTATAGGAGAGACAAGGCTGAAGGCCTGTCTGCCGGGAAAGGCCAGCTGGCAAGGGGCCCTCCACTGCGTTCTGCGAATGTGGATTTGGGGAGGGCTCCCACCACCCTAAGGAGCAGTGGTTAAGCGCTCGGCTGCTAACCAAAAGGTCAGTGGTTCGAACCCACCAGCCACTCTGTGGGAGACGGCACTGGTAATCTGCTCCCATACACATTTCAGCCCTGGAAGCTCCATGGGGCAGTTCTACTCTATCCTATAGGGTCGCTGTGTGTCAGAATGGACCCAATGGCAGTGGGCTTCATTGATTTCTCCCAGAACCCCGACTGGTGAGAGCAGCTCTCTGTGCCTGGACCGCCCATGGGAACAACGTGGCTCATGCTGAACCCCTGCTTTCCTTCTGCTGTGCTGCTCGGTGCTATCCAGTCAATTCTGACTCACAGCGACCCCACGGGAGAGAGGACCACCGCTCATCGGGGTTTCTAGGCTGTGATCTTTATGGGAGCCGATCGCCAGGGCTTTCTCCCGTGGAGCCGCTGGGTGGGTTTGAACCGCCAATCTTTTGGTTAGCAGTCAAGCGTTTAACCATTGCGCCACTAGGACTCCTTGCTTTTGTCCTGGGGTCTGGAATTCTGGGACGTGCCAGGCAGAGGTGCCCACGTGGCAGGCCCTCAGTAACAGCCCTGGGTGCTGGGTCTCCAGGGAGCTTCCTGGTGGACAGTGCTTCACGTACCATCACGACTTGGGGGGCAGGAAGTACGTGCCGTGTGGCTCCACAAGGTCCCTGGTGGTCACATGGTCTGCGCTTGACTACCAACCTGTGGTACTGCAGAAGAATGGCCTGGCAATCTGCGTCCATAAAGATTACAGCCAAGAAAACCCTATGGAGCTCAGCTCTCTTCTGTAACACACGGGGTCGCCATGAGGTGGAATCGACTCAGCATCAGTGGGTTTGGTTTCTCTGTGTGACTCCATGGGGAGGGGGCTCTGGACGCTTCTGCTTGGTGTCCCGGGACCCCATCCCCGGCACCCTCTCTCTCTGCGGATTGTGCTGTGTCCTGTCGCTGTGACAAATCACCCAATGAGCGTGACTACCTGCCGAGGCCTGGGGGTTCTGTCTAAGCACTAGACCTGGAAGGCGCCCAGGGGCCCCAATACAGGGGCCATCTCCCTCTCGTGTTTTGGGAGAACTCACCCCATTTTGAGGCTGCTCGTCCTTGCTTTCATGCTTCAGGAACACTGTCAGTTTGTCATTTGCTTTTTAGCTCGATGACGTTTTGTTGCTGAGTGGAAGTTCGTGACTGGAATTTATTAAGCTTTCCTCCCTCCCTGGATTAGATCTGGAATCTCACCGAGATCCACCTAAGGCATCTTCAGCATGTTCGCAGCTCGTTTTCCAGCCTCCCCTCCTCCCGTGAGTCGTCCATGCAGGGGGATGGACTGCGGTGTTGACATGGGGTGGGCCGGGACCAGCTTTCACCTCGCCTTCCCAGACGGCCGAGTACACTGTTAGATGATCCAGTGGATCACGTCTTCAAGTGGCCAGAGGGCCCTACTTCAAGGAGACACACTCGTGAGGGCCTAGGAGGCTGTCATGGGTTCAACTGTGTCCCCCAAAAGGACACGTGAAGTTCTAACCCCTGGTACTGTGACTGTGACCTCGTTTGGAAATAGGGTCTTTGCAGATGTAATCGACTGCCGTGTGGTCACACAGAGGAGGGGGTCCCTGATCCAATGCTGGGGTCCTTCTGAGAGAAATCTGGACGCAGAGACACAAGGGGCGGACAGCCGTGAGAAGACGGAGACAGGGAGGGGAATGATGCGGCCACAAGCCGAGGAAGGTGGGGCCACCGGAAACCAGAAGGGACAAGGAAGCATCCTCCCCTAGAGCCTCCGGAGGCAGCACGGCCCTGCCGACCCCCTGAATTTGGACTTCTGGTCTCCAGGGCTGAGAAGGGATGAGTTCCTGTGGTTTTGAGCCCCCGACGTTGTGGTACTTGTACGGCAGCCCCAGGAGTCCACCCTAATGTCTAGAGCCGAGGGGCGCCACCCACTGGCCTGTGCAGACGCAGAGACGCAAGTCCCTTCTTTGGTTCTTGTGGGGGACATTGTGACAACTTCGTTGTTGCTGTTTCTGTTAGCTGCCATCAAGTCGGCCCCCAAAACGGCAACCCCCCGCAACACGGAACAAAACAGGGCCTGGTCCTGCGCCATCCCCACGATCGGGCGTGGGACAGACCACTGTGATCCGCAGGGTTTTCACTGGCTGCTTTGGAGTCAATAGCCAGTCCTTTCCTCCTAGTCCATGTTAGCCTGGAAGCTCTGCTGAAACCTGTTCAGCACCACAGCGGCACGCAAGCCTCCCCGCTGACAGACGCGTGGTGGCTGCGCACGAAGTGCACTGGCCGGGAATCGAACCCACGTCTCCCACATGGAAGGTGAGAATTCTACAACCGAGCCTCCAACGAACCCAACAGGCCTCTCAGGGTTGTCAAGAGTCCAGAAGACTGGTCTCAGCTTCGCTTCCCTGGGACGCGTCCACCGTGCGTGCAGCCAAAGACGGCCAGGACGGCCACCCCGGGCAGGGCCGGCTCCAGTCAACACGCCCCAGCGCTGCCTGCTCCTCGGCCTCGTCACCCCCCACCAGGTGAACACGGCTCGTGGAGACCCTGCGTGTGCAGACAGGCCTCCCTAAGTACGACCACTGCCGGCTGGGAAATCTCCACACACCCGAAGCAGCACCGCCCAGTGGGACATGCTCAACCTGCGTCGTCCTGCAGGGGAGCCGCCAGCACAGGCAGCCACCGCGCCCCTGAAACAGGCCTGCACGACCAGGGACTGCATGTCCGGGTCACCTTCGTTTTACTCACCTTAGCTTTACATGTAAACAGCAATGCTCGGCCGGCGGGGGCCGAGTCGCCAGCGCAGACTAAGCTGCAGGACGCGTGTGCTCTCACTGCACCACCACCGGGCCGTTTTCCCAGCCCTCCCACCTTAGAAGGCGGCCACGGGTGGGCGGACAGGGTCTTTCAGTCTGCCTGACCACCTGGGGGTTCTTGCCAGCTAACAGGCATCCCTCCACTTCCCAGAGAGTCAGTTTCTGCTCCTGAAATGGGGCTCAGACAAGTCCCCGGGGCTCACGGGAGCAGGTGAGACGAAGCGTACAAAGACCCGGCTGGCCCGGCCTTCCCAGGACCCAGAGCGCGTACCTTCATGATCGCGACAGCCATCATGGCGGCCGACACGGAGAACATGATGGCGGGGAGCAGCATGACCACGGCGGCCCCGACACTGGTTTGGAAGAAGCTGATCGCTGCCAGCCAGCCACTGCAAGAAGGGAGAGCGAGCGTGGGTGCCAACATGAACACAGACACCAGCAGGAGACAAAGGACCAGCAGAAAGACGGGCAGTTAGCGCCAGGACGAGTGGCCACCAACTTCTGAAAGGATGCTCCAACCCACCAAGGAAGACACGCAGGCGAGGGCGAGGCATTGTTTCCTAACCACCCCGCCAGCAAACTCTGCGTGGGTGAGGGAATGAGGAAACGGGGACCACACTGTTGGGGGGAGTGTACGCCCTTATGAGAGGGAAGCGAGGCGCAATCTGTAAAAGGCTGAAACGCTCACCCCTTCTAGCCCAACAACCCCACAGGCAGTCCCCAGTTACGAACGTCCGACTTCCATACACCCCGAAGTTAAAGCCTGTTATATTAAAAACCTGGAGGTACATCCAGTGGTTCGTAAGAAGAAACAGGCGCTACTTCGCAATGCACATCAAAACATTATTATTACTATTACTGTATTACCACGTTAAAGATATTTTAGAAGCTCTGGAAGAATTTCTTTAACGTTTTTTATGCATAGAAAAGGACGCTATATACTAAGACAAACATTTGACTGACTGACATTAGACACGAACCGTACCTAACTATTCCGACTTATATACAAATTCAACTTAAAGACAGACTTAGGAATGGAACTCGTGCATAATCTGGGGACTGCCCGTACGTCTAAGAGTTTATCCTATAATTGTTTCTAATCATGAAAAACTAGACATAAGCTGATAGAAATAACACAAATATAAATGTATACACCCACCCAGCAGCTCCGCGGGAGAAAAGACCTGTGATCCGCTCCCGTAAAGATTACAGACTAGGAAACCCTTCGGGGCAGTTCCACTCTGTCCCATGGGGGCGCTGTGAGTCAGAATGGCACTCGATGGCACCCAACAACCACCACGGCCCGCACAATGGACTACCAAGGAACCAATAAAAACAGAGGGAAGAAGGACACAGCAGATCCTGTGACGTCTGTTCCCTCGTCAGGCAGCGTAAGGAAGAATATCCACCTTGCCATCCATGCTTCCTTCTGGGGGGAGGGGGAGGTTGCAGGCAATATGGCATTTTTGAATTTTTTCTCCAGACAGAAAATAAAACTACATGGTTCACAATTCAGAAAACTTAGAAGAATATATAATGAATAGTAGACTCCTTCCCTGCCCACAGGCAACACACACAAATGGAGAAACAGCATGGCCCATCCGCATAATGCAATGTTACTAGGCCGTAAAAAGGAATGAAGTTCTCAGATGCGCTGCAATGTGGGTGAACCTCGAAAACATCCTGCTGAGTGGGCGAAGCCACAGGCTGTAGGACCCACTGACAGGAAGTGTCCAGAACAGGCAGATCCATAGAGACAGAGTGGATCGGTGGTGGCTGGGGGCTGAGGGGAGAGAAGAAGGGGTCAGTGCTAATGGGCACGGGTTTCTTTCTGTTGATGGGGCGATACAGAATGTTGTGAATTTAGATTGTGATGCTGATGGTTGTTATGGACAGAATTGCACCCCTAAAAAGTGGTGTTGTAAATCCTAACCTCTATGTCTGTGGTTATGCCATTTGGGAGTGGGTTGTCTCTGCTATGTTAATGAGGCAGGAGTATTGTAGGGTGTGTCTTGAATTAATCTCTTCTGACACATAAAAGAGACTGAACAAGCAGATGAAAGCAGCAGAGACGGGGAAGACCGCTGCCAAGCCACATGGAGATCTCCAAGGAACCAGCAAACAGAAGCTGAAGAGACAAGGGCCTTCCCCTAGAGCCGACAGAGACAGAAAACCTTCCCTAGAGCCGGAGCCCTGAACTCGGCCTTCTAGCCTCCTGTGAGAGGCCAGATTCCTGTTTGTTAAAGCCACCGCTTGCGGTATTTCTGTTACAGCAGCACCAGGTAACCGAGACAATGGTACAACTCTGTGAAGGTACTAAAAATACTGAATCATACACTTCAAAGGGGTGAATCTGCAGGTATGAATCACACCTCAGTAACGCCACCACTAACGAGACCCAGCTTGGGAAACAGTGCAGGCTGAGGCACTTCAGCAAACAAACCGCAAGGAAAGGGGGAGGGGCGCCTGCAGGTTAGGGAGACTTCAGAGGTACATCCACCTGGGGGAACGTGTGGACCTTATCTGGATTCTGGTTTGAATAACCTGCTAAAAAAGGAGCTTAGCTAAACGCAATATGGCATCCTGAAACAGAAGAGAATGTTAGCGGAAAAACTGGTAGCATTCCAATAAAGTCTGGAGGCTTGGCTGCTAACCAAAAGGCTGGAGGTTCAAGTCTACCCAGAAGTGCCTTGGAAGAAAGGCCTGGCGATGTACTCTGGAAAAATTAGGCTTTGAAAACACTGTGGGGCTTCGTCCTACGCTGTCGCGCACGGGGTTGCTAGGAGGCGGGGTCAATTTGGTGGTAGCTCATAGTGTCAAGAGTGGTGACTTAGGGTGCTGATGTGAGGGGAAGCTGGGTGAGACGGAATTCTCTGTTCCATCTTTGTAACTTTTCTGTAAAATCTGAAAAATGTTAAAGTAAAAAGTCTATTAAAAAAAAAAAAAGAAGAACCCCGAGAGTATGGCCCCCCGACACCTTTTTAGCTCAGTACTGAAGTCACTCCCGAGGTTCACCCTTCAGCCAAAGATTCGACAAGCCCATAAAACAAAACGAGACTAAATGGGCACACCTGCCCAGGCGCAAGGATGAGAAGGCAGGAGGGGACAGGAAAGCTGGTAATGGGGAACCCAAGGTCAAGAAGGGGGAGTGTTGACATGTAGTGGGGCTGTTAACCAATGTCATAAAACAATATGTCTACTAGCTGTTTAATAAGAAACTCATCCGCTCTGCAAACTTTCATCTAAAGAACAGCAATAAAACAACGAGTGGAAAAGTATGAATTTCTCTATCTTGACAATACTAAGGAGCTACTGTTAATTTGTTAGGTGTGATAACAGCATTGTAAGCGGCCCTGGTGGTGCAATGGTTAAGTGCTCAGCTGCTAACCCAAAGGTTGGTGGTTCAAACCCACCCAGAGGCTCCATGGAAAAAGACCTGGAGATCTGTTCCCATACAGATTACTGCCTAGGAAACCCAATGGGGCAGTTCTACTCTAACACTGGGTCACCGTGGGTGGGAATCAACTCAACAGCACCCAGCAGCAGCACTGCGGTTCTGTTCCAAGACATCCGTCCCTTTCAGAGGTCCTGGCAGAGATGCTAACAGACGAAGCCTTACGAGGCCTGGCGTTTGCTCCCAGATGTCCCAGCATGGGGCTAAGTGGGAAGCTGCTGAAGCAAGGTCGGCTGTGAGCTAGAAATTTTCAGAGCTGGGTGATGAGGACAGATACTCTCTACTTCTGCAAAAGTTTAAAATCTTCCTTGGTGAAATGTTTTGAAAAATCCAGACCATCAACTGTTCGCGGCTGGGTTTTCTTCCCACCTGGAAAGCCCTGAGTGTGGGGTTGACGTCCGCCCCTTAGTGGCCAGAAGTGGAACTGCCGGGCAGGAAGGCGGTCGGGATGGGGCCGGGCAGTGGGTGGCCTGGTCCCATCTGAGCGCCCCACCGGCCCGGCAGGTGGGGCCACCCCCTAACGGGTGAGGAGGCAGGACGGAGCATCAGGGAGGCGTCCACACGGCCATGTGGGGAGCCGGGCTGAGCTCGCTCGAGCCCTGCTTCCCTCGTGTGGAGTCGGGCCGAGAGCACCAAGGCCGCCTCACCACTCAAACTGGGGTCTCCCACGTGGGAGGCGAGGATTCCACCACCGCATCCACGCTGTAGCACTCAACCCACACTAACACTCGCACCGCGTCCAGATCCCTACGATTCCCGCGTATCGCGCTCGCAAAGCTTACTGATAAAAGACCCTCGCGGGCCAGGCTTACCACGCGCCCCATCCAGAGAAGCCAACGGCCTGGATGACCGTCAGGACGAACTGGGCCCCGAAGATGAAGAAAAACGCCATGAAGTTAAAGGAGCTGTTGGCCCTGGGGGGGAGAGAAGGCATGACCTCTCAGACGCTGCCCAGAGGGAAGACCTAAGGCTCAGAGGGGCAGGACGGAAACCGGCTTATGTCTTCAACCAGTAACCAGGCGCTGACCAGCGGCCACTGAGCCAGCCCCCACTCATGGCGACCCCACATGTGTCAGAGTAGAACTGTGCTCCACAGGGTCTTCAACGGCTGGTTTTTCAGAAGTAGATCACCAGGCCTTTCTTCCGAGGTACCTCTGGGTGGACCCGAACCTCCAGCTGGGTGTGCTCACTGTTTGCTCCACCCAGGGGGTCCACACACAGGTTATTACAGATGAAGATAAGAAGACAGAGCGTCAGGGACCCCGCGATGCCCTCTGCCAACACCAGTTTCTCCACTTCATTTTTGGGACGGGGGCACGGGGCAGCTGCAGGGGTGAAATGTTTTGAAAAAATGTTTTGAAAAACCCCAGGATGCTCCCAGGGACTGGAGGAGGTGGGAATGTTCCAGAACTACAGGTGGTGATAATTGCACAACTCTGTGAAGATACTAACAGCCACCGAGCCATACACTTTAAAAAGGGATCCTCTGGCATGTGAATTATCTCAATAACGCTGTTATTAAAAAGCAAAACAAAAACAACGAACAGGCAGCAGCTGGATTTGGTCCAGGGGCCGCAGTGTGCGACCCGATGCAAACCGTCATCCAACTGAACGAGAAAGAGAGGCAGCTGCCAGCCACTGACCCAGCACAGACCAGGCTCTCCTGGGCCGTCTGGGACGCATGCTCCCTCTGCGAACGAGGGAGGGGCTGCAGAAATCAGGGCGCGGGAGCGGAAGCCTGGGGTGCCCTGTCTGGAGCAGGCCGCACACTCTGGCATGCGTCCTGCTCTCAGCCTGGGTGCTCCGACTCACCGGAAGGCCTTGTAGGCGGGCCGGAACCAGCACACGTAGCTGCAGGGCGAGAAGAGCAGCAGCCAGACGAAGGCCAGGCCGAAGTTGGCCCCGGAGCCGCCGCTGATCCACCAGGCCAGGCAGGCGACGAGGTTCACCGCCAGCGTGGCACAGTAAACTGGGGGCAGGACAGGGCAGAGGCTGAGCTGGGGCCGGGGCCAAAGGCTCCGTCTGTCCCCTCCCCGCCCCTAGGTGCTCAGAGCGGGGCAGGGAGCAGGGTTCCCAGCCTCTCGCTCATTCCGCCAGGGAGGGCCAAGCTAGGCCGCAACCCCGTCCGCTTCGTCCACTGCCCCATGCCAGCCCCAGGGCGGAACTTTATTAGAAGCACCGGAGGTCAGCCCCAGAGAACATCAATGAAGCAGCTCCTGTCGTCTGGGCTCCCTGGGGCGAGACTTTTCTCCTGTCAGGTTGTCTTGGCCTTTGGGGCATCATGGGGGTACCCAGGCTGGGCGCAGCTGCGCTCCCGCCCGCCCCTGCTGCAAAGGACTCTGAGAGTTGCCAGGGCGGGGTGGGGGTGGGGGGCTTACATATCCACAGGCGGTAGATGCGCTTCACCAGGACCTGGTGCTCGATGGGGATCTCGTCAGAGAAGTTCTGGTAGAAGCAGGGCTTCAGGGGGATGAACTTGGGCAGCGGCGGGAAATTGTTCTCCTTTCCTGCAAGGATAGAAGACGCCACAAAGTGAAACACCAGGCCGGGGTGAGGGGATAACAGCCCCAAGAGCAGAGACAGACCGACTCAGTGCTCACAGGCGCCCTCTGGGGGCCACAGGGAGGACAGACCGAGGGGAGTGAGGGTGAGACCAGGTGGGTGTCTGGGGAAGAGCATTCCAAGCAGAGAGAACAGCCAGTGCAAAGGCCCTGGGGCAGGACTGTGTCTGCCAGGTCTAGGAGCGGCGAGGGGCAGTGGAGAGCGTGCAGGAACCAGAGGAGTGAGGTCAGTGGTGAGGTGGCGTCCACCCTGAGGGACATGAGGAGCCCAGGAACATCCTGAGAGGGCGCCTTCATGTCGGCCATGCTCAGCCTGTGCTTGCTCGCACGCCCCCTCAGGAACCTGGAGACAAGTTCACTGAAACACATGGGCGAGGCCCTGCCACTGTCCGGTCCACCCTCAAGGGAGCCGCCAAAAGCCAAATCAGCATACCACAAGCCTGTGGAGTCTCACAAATGCTCCCCGCTCTGACAGGACACCAGCACACCGCGGGCCTGTGTGGTCTCCTCACACACCACACGCTCCCCTCTCCGACAGGATGCCGGCACACCGCGGGCCTGTGTGGTCTCCTCACACACGCTCCCCGCTCCGACAGGACGCCGGCACACCGCGGGCCTGTGTGGTCTCCTCACACACGCTCCCCGCTCCGACAGGACGCCGGCACACCGCGGGCCTGTGTGGTCTCCTCACACACGCTCCCCGCTCCGACAGGACGCCGGCACACCGCGGGCCTGTGTGGTCTCCTCACACACGCTCCCCGCTCCGACAGGACGCCGGCACACCGCGGGCCTGTGTGGTCTCCTCACACACGCTCCCCGCTCCGACAGGACGCCGGCACACCGCGGGCCTGTGTGGTCTCCTCACACACGCTCCCCGCTCCGACAGGACGCCGGCACACCGCGGGCCTGTGTGGTCTCCTCACACACGCTCCCCGCTCCGACAGGACGCCGGCACACCGCGGGCCTGTGTGGTCTCCTCACACACGCTCCCCGCTCCGACAGGACGCCGGCACACCGCGGGCCTGTGTGGTCTCCTCACACACGCTCCCCACTCTGACAGGTACCAGCACAACACGGACCTGTGTGGTCTCCTCACATAACCTCCCCCCTGGCAGGACACCAGCACACTGCAGGCCCCCTCCACCACTGGTGCAAAGGAAATGAGAAGCAAACCCCGTGTGGGGCCTTGGGCAGGACTCACCTGACATGTCTGCAGTGGCTGACACAGCACGTGGCTGAAGCCACAGCCCACCTGGAAGAGAAGACAGTGACAGTCAGCCCCTAAGGCCGCAGAGATAACCTGGCACCCAGCGTAGGCCCGGGCTGCTGCCACGTGTGGGGGCCTAGCGGCCAGGCTACCCTCAAGAATGGAGAGCCCTTGACTGTGCCTCGGTCTCTCCGATCCTGTGGGTTCTCACTGAAGGGCCAGCCCAGCTTGCCTGCAGGCTCAGCTGGCGCCCGAGGCCTAGTGTCTAGGCCTCGTATCACCTCCCCTCAGGACCCAGCCCCTCCCCTCCGGCCCTGGAGCCCAGCGGGCATCCCGAAAGAGGGAGCTAGTCCAAGTGTCCCCCTCTATCCCACCCCGATGGCTCTGAGCAGCCCGGTCTGAGTCACCAAGAGTGGGGTTCTCGGCCTGGCACTCATGGCTGTGACCCTGGGCAGCCACATACCCTCTCTGGGCCCACTCGTGACCCCATGAGTCTCATGGGGCCCAGGACCCTGACTCAATCCAAGTGAAGCTCCTGGCACCACAGCAGTACCCAGTAGCCTCTGAGACGGAGCCTGCGGCCCGGGTCGGGGGTACTGCTCTGCCCACCAGGCCACGCTGATGGCATGCCTGAGCAGAGCCCAGTCTGTTCCAAAAGGGCCATTTTCAGGGAATAAGTTGGCCAACAGGACACGGACTCCTTGACAGGGACGGTGAGGAGATCCTGATGACACTCAGGTCTCCTGGGTCTGACCCACCAGTGGGTTCCCAGGCTCGCTGCCCAGTGCCAGCCCCTCGCCTAGGCTGGGGGGGCATGGCCTCTTGAGGGGGCCCTCACACCCCCAACTCAGACCAAGAGAGCCTATGCAGAGAGCCAGGATGGATGCTGCCACCTGGTCCCCCTCCATGCCTCCCCACCGGCTGAGCCAGGGGCCCCCACTGCCGCCTTGTGCCCCTCCGCACCTTCCCACTGGCTGAGCCAGGGGCCCCCACCACCACCTGGTGCCCCTCTGCTCCTTCCCACCAGCTGAGCCGGGGGCCCCCACTGCTGCCTTGTGCTCCTCCATACTTTCCCACTGGCTGAGCCAGGGACCTCGCGGGCTGGCTCCTGACACAGGCCTGGTCCGCTGCCTGGAGGCTGGCCCCTCCAGACAGAGCCCCCATGGGGGCTGGGACTGTCCCCCAAGCCCAGCGCTCCTCACGGCCCCAGCAGCTCACACAGTCGCCAATCACATTTGGCACTAGCTGGATAGATAAAGGCCTAACCAGCATCTGCAGGCAGATGTGCGCCCTGCCTTCACTGTCCTGGTGTCCTGGGGGAGCCTGTGCCGCCCCCTCTAGGTCCCCTCTCTCCATCTAAGGAGGGAACATGGGGGACCTGAAGGAGCCTTTAAGGGCAGCTGGTATCAGACACAGCTGGCCGGGCAGCGTCCCAGCTCATCTAGAACCTTCCAAGCCCAGGAAACAGGAGGACAGTACCACTGGAGCCCCCTCTGCCCACCGGAAACCACCCCGAGCCCCAGGTAACTCTCAGACTGTGGCGCGCGCCCCACACACCCGCCCCGCCTTACAAGCCAGAGGGCCCAGGGCGGATGCATGGACTCCGCCCCCGTGGAAAGGCCACACTGCCCCAGGGACTGGCCGGTCACCACACCACTCTGCCATTGACACACACGAGCCTGGTTGGGTTGTTTATTTCCACATATTGAACCCGTTTTCTGACACCTGAGATAGAGGGGCGCGATCACGGGGGCCACAGTGACTTCAGGAGCTCAGAGCCGAGCCTCTCGGTGGGGCCAGAGAAGGGAGCCCAGTGCCAGGCGGCCCCACGCACTCCAGTCCAGGGAACGCGTGCTCTGAGCAGGAGCCGGCCCCCCAGAGTCACCGTGTGGTCGGCGACAACAGCCTGGCTCAGAACAGAGGCGCCATGCACAGCGGGCACGGAGGGGGCATCTGTGGGGTCTCTGGCAGGGTCACTGCTATGGCTCGTCCATGAATCCTGGGCGTTGGGGGTGGAGGAGGCTCTGGGCAGACAGGAGCATCCGTGGACTCCGGGCAGAGGCAGTCAGGGAGAGGAAGCAGCTGGGCAGACGGGGCGTCCGTGGGGTCTCTGATAGGGTCACAGCTGCAGCCTGCCCACGGACCCCAGGTGTCGGGAATGAAGGAGGCCCGACAGCCGCACACCTACACGTCGGGATCAAGTCGGCGGCACTGGGCAGATGAGGCGTGCATGGGATCTCTGATAGGGTCACAGGCACAGCCTGCCCACGGACCCCGGGTGTCGGGAATGAAGGAGGCCCGACAGCCGCACACCTACACGTCGGGATCAAGTCGGCGGCACTGGGCAGATGAGGCGTGCATGGGATCTCTGATAGGGTCACAGGCACAGCCTGCCCACGGACCCCGGGTGTCGGGAATGAAGGAGGCCCGACAGCCGCACACCTACACGTCGGGATCAAGGCGGCGGCACTGGGCAGATGAGGCATCCATGGAATCTCTGATAGGGTCACAGGCACAGCCTGCCCACGGACCCCGGGTGTCGGGAATGGAGGAGGCCCGACAGCCGCACACCTACGTGTCGGCATCGAGGCGGCCACACTGGTCCTCCAGCACGCCGCGGAACACCTGGAAGCGGTGGTTGAGGTCGGGCCGGGCGTGGAGGCGGAAGCGGGTGCCCAGGGCGCCGTCGGGCGAGGGCGCCCCGTAGAAGACCCTGCGGATGCGAGCGTGCACGAGGGCCATGGCGCACATGACGCAAGGCTCGCGGGTGACGTAAAGGTCGTAGCCAGTGCAGACGTACGGGAGCCCGTCCTCACCGTCCTCCTCACGGCAGTCCTGCTTCCGCACGGTGCCCGCCCGGACGGCCTGGCTGGTGGCAGCCAGCGTGAGGGAGCAGGCGGGGTGGGGCCTGAGGTCGTGGGCGCCGCGGCCCTGACCCTGGGCCACGAGGTCGATGCACACCATGGTGGCGTGCAGCAAGGGGCTGGCGGCACTGCGGCAGTCGTGGCCC